CTAACAAGAACTTATGCAGGTAGCAGAAAAGTTAATGTTTATGCGTGAAGAATGCTTAGAAGGAAATTTCGACTCCATAAAGACGTTGAGAGAATCAAATGTCCCAACTGTCTCTTATAACAGACAGGTAGCTGCAGTTCTATCTGTAATTTCATTTTTTTATGAAATATATTCCATGTTAATGGCCAGCATTTTGTGTTGCTATTTGCTTTCTTGTTCCAATTGTTTTGTTTGTTCATGTTTGATCTACTATTTTCCATGGTCGAAAACTGAACCAAAAGGATACACTTATTGTGAATGCTGCTACTATGGAAAATAAATTTCCAGTTCAGTGGAGAAAAAAGCAAGCCATTGGCCTTCGTTAACTGTTTTCTTTCTAAAAATATTTCTGTAGCTCGTCGAATGCACTTTTCCTTAATATTTTGCCGAGACTAATATGTTTGCTTGATTTAAAGAGTATCATTTCCTCTTATGCTAGTCTGGCAGCAATGATCATGATGATAGTGATGATGATGATGATGATGATGATGATGAAGATGATGATGATAAAGATGACAATAATCTAGTTAAAGAAAATTCAATGGAGATGGATGTTGATGATGATCCACAATTGCAATCTAATCACACCCAAAAGGGCACTGTGAATCCTGAGCCAAGTGTTCCTAAGTTAGATGATGGATGGACTGTGGTAGCCTCTAAACGTAACAGAGGTAAAAAGAACTAAAGCTTCATCGAGAGATTTTGACGAGTTACCTTTTTTTTTTTCCTTTTTAGGTTTTTGGTGTTGTATTGTTTTTCCTTTTTCTATCTTTAATTTTTCAAGTTTTGGCTTGTCAACAGTTCATTATATTTTTTATTTTTTTTTCCATACCAATATCATAATTAAAACTTAAAAGAGTCAACCTCTCCGAACATCACCGAAGAGAGGAGATAAAAAGGACGGGATACAATCCTTCCAAAAGGAAGATTCCGTCTACGACATAGCTCTACTAGCTAGACAATAGGCAACAGAATTCAAATTTCTACCAATATAACAACAAGACCCACAATCTAAAAGAAACAAAAGTGATAAGATGTCGCCAAAACATGATGCAAAGGATCGTGTAGCGACATATCTAACAAACCACAAACAATCGCCAGGGCGCCTGTCTTGGCATATTGGATCGAGAATCCCGCCTCAAGCGCAAAGCGGAGGCCGAACCTGAGGGTTAGGGCTTCGGCTGTAACTGATGAGAAGGAGCCCGACATAGAAGTTGTAAAAGTAGCCCAACACACGCCTTCCGAGTCACCTATCCACCCGCCTAGGCCGATTCTCGAATCATGGACCGCTGCATCGTAGAATAACGTGAGACTGTTGCTACATTTTCTTGGTCCGTGCCACCTGTCGGCTGATGGTTGATACAATTCCACTTGCATGAATCAAGGAACTGTAGTAAACGAAATGTCGAAACTAAAAGTTCTAAAATTTATGATGCGGTTAATATTCAACGCCCTTTATGGATACGGTCAAACTCCGTCAACCCGCCCTTGACTCGGTCGACCAGGGTCAAACCAGTTGACCCGGACCCTATATATTTTTTTTATTTTTCTTTAAAAAAATTTTTATATACAAAATAAAAATTATGTGAATATATTATTATAAATATTTATTGTGAGATACAATTCTTTTAACACTTTGATGTACAAATTTTATATACAAAATATTTATTTTTGTTATTTTTATGTATATTTATAAGTAAAAAATATTATATATAATTTTAAAATTTTAAAATTAATTACCCGGTTCAGCAATTGACCTGGTGACCCGATGGTTGAACCGGTGACCTGAAGACCTGCGGGTCAATTTCCGGGCCGAGTTTAAAAACTATGCTTCCAGATGCTTTTTGATAATTTTTCATATAAAAAATTGAATATCATAATAAAATTTCATACCAAAAATATTTCGCCCACATTATACCATAAATTACTTTATCGATTTCCCAATATAGTAAATTATATTTTTTTGACAGAAACCGTTATTGTTTTAAAATAATCAAATATATATATATATGGTGCTCCGCTAAATTTAACCATCAATTTTACAATTTTATCTTT